CTAATGCTGGGGAAACAGTGATTACTGAACTTGCTGTTCTGTGTATATTCTGGGACAAAGTGCAGAAACGTTTCAGACTCACTGTGGCATTATGAACCCAGCCTCCTTGTCTCCCAGGTGAGAATGCCGGTGACCCCTGTGCGGCTCTTCAGAAATTGTTCTGTGGGATCTTACCTGTTAGCTCATTTCATTATCCGAGTCTCTTTGCAGCCACGCTTTTTAGGGCTGCTCCTTTCCCCTCTGGCATTCAGTGTGCTTCTGGTGAGCAGAATGCATTGTTTCCTTTAAAACTATTTTATGCATTTCAAAATAGTGGATTTATTAAATCAGTTTGTTCACTTGTGTCTGACTCTTCGTGACCTCATTTGGGATTTTCTTGGCAGATACACTGGAGTGCTTTGCCAATTCCATCTCCAACTCATTTGACGGATTGAAGAAACTGAGCCAAACGGGGTTAAGTGACTTGCCCAGGGTCACACAGCTAGTAAGTGTCAGAGGCCAGATTTGAACTCAGGCCTTCCTGACACCAGGCCCAACACTCTTTTGCCACTGGGCCACCTGGCTGCCCTATTAAATCAGTAAGATTGCGTTAAAGAAAGGCCTGGTAACCTACTCTTAGCTTACAGTTACTTAGAGTGGATTACTGGTCTTCAGTTTTCTCATTTGTAAAATGGAGATGAAAGTATTAATTTATCTGGGAAACCTTAGAACCTGAGTAACTTTTATTTTCAAATGCTTTGTGTACGTTCAGCACTATGTAAGTAATCCTAATGGAGGGTAATGATTATGAGATAAGGAAATTAATTCTTTTGTACTCTTCAAAGACGATGCAATTTGCAGGGCACATGCTTTAGCCTACATTAAAAGCAAAGTCATCATTTGGAATATAAAGTAATCAAAATAGAAGCTTTTTATTCAGAGAGAACTTGTAAATATTCACCTGACTTTGAGTTGGACCTGTAGATTAAATGGCTCATCTTGACTGGTGCATGCAGTGGATGGAGTGCTGAGTTCAGATCCTGCCTCAGACACTTATCAGATGTGTGACCCTACGCAAGTCATTTCACCCTGTTTGCCTCAGTTTCCTCATATGTAAAATGAGCTGGAGAAGGAAGCAGCAAGCCCCTCTAGGATCTTTGCCAAGAAAACCCTAAATGGGGTCTCAGAGGGTCAGACACAACCAAACAACAGCAACTGGATCATAGTGTCATTAAAAGCCCCAGAATTATTGAGGAAAATTTGAGACCTTGAGGATGTATTTTAAAAGCAGTGTGTTACTTACTAAGATTCCTGTACTCAGGGTTTAGAAAGACCTCAACGTGCGCACCGATGCTTTTTTCCCTTGACAAAAGCCAGAGAGGTACCTGGAGCGCCGGTTATTTCTTGCTTACTGCATCCCACCTTCCCTGGCCCTGCTCCTGGTAGCCTGGCTTCACCCTTTTCTCCTTCAGCATGATAGTCTGGGTACCAGAAGTGTAGTGCTCTGGACTCGACGGGGACTTTCCTTGGCCTCTTGGCCACAGCACTGCCTCCTTTACCGTTCAGAATCTGTCTCGTATAGCATTGGTTTACATTGTTAGGTGTCCTTCCAGAAATTCACATAATTTGTTCCTTTGTAATCTTTCCTCTTATGCCTTTGCCGAGTTCCCTTGCTTCATATTGGACACCTTCACTGAGTAGCTAGCTTTTTCTTGTACTTATTTACTTCGTTTTAAAGACTATAGAGATACTCTAATCTCTACTCATAAGATTCTTCACATAGTCAACAATTGTATTCTTACCCATGCTTTTCAGTAATCTGTGCCTGATTTTATGCTAATCTGGGAAAAAGTAAATAGTGATTTCTGTAAACTAAGCTTCTATGTGAGTGATCTGCGATTGCTGTTGGCAGAGTCACTCCCTCCATTGATGGAGATCCCCCTTATCTGGGACTCCATAATCGAGGAAGAGGTTCTTTGTGAATGTCTGTGGCCAGAGGTACCCTGTGAATGATCGGGAATTGTAAATCCTACACAAGCATCTTCCTTGTGGGTGCTTCATTTATTCAGACAGATGCAGCTCCTGGCGTGTGGAAGGCACCGAAATGCTTATGGGAATCCCACTGTCCAGCCATTCTTGTGTCCGTGAGCCAGTTACTGCCCGCTGGAGCCCAGTGCCTGCATACTCCAGTCTGCTCGGAGCCAGGCACCTGCCGGTGGGCAGGCCCAGTGCAAAGGGCTCCTCGGACCACTCGCACCCGGGCCTTTGCTGTAAATTGTCCCCAGTGTTTTGCTCCACGTGTCTTTCTCGGGAAAGTGCTCCTTTGTACCTCTTTTCTTATTGGTGATAAAAATAACAAAGAATAAATGATTTCATAAAGGATAAAATATTCAAACCCAAGCTGTTTCTTTGCAGAAAATGTGCCTTCTAGACGCTTCTTCTTAATATCTGACTTTTTTCTTTTAGGTTTTATGGCAGTTGGACGTATTCCGTCGGAGTTTACGCGTTCTGTCTGGACATGTTTGTCAGGGAGATGCCTGCATATTTTGTGCTTTAAAGGTAAACTTAATAATGCTTAGGAAAGTGGAGCTTAAGTGGTCATTGCTTTGTTTTTGGAGGAAATTACGGGTTTGGATAGAGTTCTTACCGTGTCTTTTCAGCTGTTTATTTTTGTTTAAGTATTTGGGAATTTGTGCTTTATTCATTTTTGAATGGATATGCTCTATCGAAGATGATAAAATAACACAGAAGTTGATACGTATTCAGAAAGATTTGAAGCAATTTTGAAGCATCAACTTACTAATTTTCATTAAAAACCTATGATGTTAAAATTCTAGCCATTTTGAAAAATTACACAAAATGAAGACATTAGAAAAGTTCCAGACTAGCACTCTTAGAGGTAGAAGTTACATTCAGCTTTCTTTTGATGAACAGCGAGAAAATGTGTGTCCTGTGTTATTTGTGTGTCCCCCCCCCCCCCCCCCTGTTGAAGTTTCCAGATTCATTTCTAGATTGAGAATTGATTTGAAGCCATTTGCAGTTCTCGGCTTCTGACCTCCTCAGTCAGCTCAAAGTGCTCTCTGCTGACTTACCAATGATTTCTTAATTGCCAGATCGAATGATCTTTTCTCCAGCCTGATGTTTCTGTACCCTGCTGGTCCCTAAGACGGGCTGCCTGTCCTCTTTGGGCTTTGGTGACACTGTTCTCTCGTGCTTCTCTGGCCGTGATCACTGATCGTGGGTGTTGCCCAGGCTTTGTCCTGGGCCTCCTCTCTCTTCTCCAGCCCCGTACTGTCTCCCTTGGTGATCTCATCAGCTCCCTGGAGCTCAGTCTTTATTTCTGTACAAATGATTCCCATATTTACTTGTTCAGCCCCTACAGGCCCTTGTGTTCAATTCAGCAAGCATTTCTTAAGCACCTGCTGTATGCCAGGCACTGTCCTAAGCCCTGGGTATATGGAGATAGTCTCTGCCCTCAAAAGGCTTATGGTCTAATGGGGGTACGCTCACCAGTTGCCAATTGAACAACATACTGCAGACACCTCAGACTTAGCCTTGCCAGAGCGTGTCATCTTTCCCCATAAACCCTCCCTTCTTCCAAGCTTCCCTATCTCTATTGAGGGCACCGCCATCTTCCCAGTCCGCCCAGACCTCTGCCTTGGGGTCCTCTGGACTCCTCATTCTTGTACCCCACAGATCCAGTCTGTTGCCAAGTCCTGTCCTTTCTGCCTTCACATTATCTCTCAGAAACATCCCCTTCCCCTTCTGACACTGCCGCCGGCTGGTGCAGGCCCTCGTCACCTCATCCCTGGACTGTGACAGTAGCTGTCATGGCGGGGTTTCCCTGCCTCAAGCCTCTCCCTCCCCGGGCCCTCCTCCATTCAGCTGCCCCAGTGACCTTGCTAACGTGCAGGTCTCCCCATGTCATCCCCCTAGTTACACAATAAATTCCAGAGGCTCCCCATCACCTCCAGATGAAACAGCACCTTCTGTTGGGCTCTCAAAGCCCTTCGTGGCCTGGTCTCCTCCTGCCTTTCCAGACATCTACACTTTACTCCCGACACTGGCCTCTTTGCTCTTGTTCTGCACGTTTTCACGGCACTCCTCATTCCTGGAAGGCTGTGAGCGCTCACCTCTGCCTCCTGAAATCCTAACTCCTTCATGCAGGAGCTCTTTTGTGATCCTCCATCCCCCTCATGGTCCCTTGACTGTAGATCTTGGATGTCTCCTTTGTTCCTTGTTTTTTTCCCCGTTAGAATGTGAGCACTTTAGGGCTAGCTCCGTGTTTTTGGATTTCTGTATCCCCAGGACGTAGCATGGTGCCTGGCACATAGTAGGTGCTTAACAAGTAAATGCTTCTTGACTGACATTCAGGTGGAGGTAATTTAATGTTGTTTCAGCTAGAATGTGACTAAATCAATTCATGGTTGTTAATTTTTAAGAACGTAGATAAAATGGAGATACATATCCACTAAATTCTGAATATTTCAGTCAGTTGAAATTGTAGAAACCGAAGTCTTGAAAAAGGTTACCATTTTGGAACTGCTTCGGAAAGCTGTTTTTGAAAAGTCAAATACTCAAATAAGCAAGTATGTTTTAAAATTAGTTTAGTGAACAACAAGTAAATTAGTCACAAAGTTATAACAACAATAACAACCAGCACCACTTCAGTCCTTGAAGGCTCGGTGATTCTGCAGAGCCCCTCCCCCATACCCCTGGCTGGGGACTCAGGAGCTGGTCTTGCAGAGTTGCTGTGACTTCAGAGGTCAGGCCGGCCTTCAGACAGCGGCCCTCCGGTCATCCCTCCCTTCCATCACCAGGCCTCCCAACTTGGGAAACACCTGCCAGGGCTCGGGCTTCTGTGGCATGTGGAGTATTTGGGGAATAGGCTTACAAAGCTCTCTGAAGCTTTCTCTTACCAGTTGATTGCACTTATTTTTGAGTTACTTCTTTGGAGAAGAAAATTTCCTAAACTGTGTCCTGTCCAGTCAAAATGCCAACCTTTGTTGAAATTCAACTCTCTCAACGGACTGCCCTTGATGCTGTTTTATTTCTCAAGGTAAAATAAGTCCTTGCTCTCAGGAAGTTTATCTCCTAATAGAATCAAGTCAAACTAACAAGCATTTATTAAACACCTACTGTATATCAGGCACCATGCTATACAGCAGTCGCTATAATGCACATTAGAATGTGATAGTGGGAAGGAGTGGATGAAACAGAGGGCTAGGAGCAATTAAAGGGGCAGGGGGCTTTCTCACCTGCAGGCAGAAGAACATAGGAGCGGGGCTTTGAGAAGCTCTAAACACCCGAAGGCAGGAAACACTTTTGATTTATCTTCTTTGTGGGTCTCTGTTGTGTCACACATAACAGTCACTTCGTGTCGGAATGAATGGTGAATACCAGCGTTCCAACATGCAGGTTTGGGGAAGGTGCCTTTTTAGGCATGGATAATGGAAAGGGGAAGGGAACGGGGGTGGGAAGGACAGGACTAATGAGTGTGTGAATTGGAGAAGTGAGAAGTAAGATGGGGGAGGTGAACTGGAGTCAAATTGCGGAGGGCCTTGAATGCCAGATCAAGGAGGTCATAGTTTATTTTGGAGGAATTGGGCAGTCATCATGTTTTTGTACAGGGGACAGATAGTATTAGAATAATGGTGGGATATGAGGAATCTTTGCCCACTCTTGGTGGAAGGAAGAAGGGTTATGAGGCCAGGTACAAGGTGACAAGGGCTTAAATTGGGGGAGTGGCTGTGAAATGGGGAAGGCTGAGGGGCCCCTGTGGTATGGCAAAGGTCGAGTTACTAGGACCTGACAGAGGAGTAGAAGGTGGAGAAGAGGGAGTGAGAGAGGGGGAGAGCTGGCTGTGTGGGGCGTGCCCAGCCGGCAGGGTTGGGAAGATAGGAAGTTTGGTCTGAAACGTGTGAGTTTGAGATGCTGATGGAATTAGGTCAGAGAGTCAGCAGGCCCTTGGAAGAAGGCTCTGAAGAAAGGGGCAGAGTGGGGTCCTCTCCTTGCAACTGGTCACTGCAGCCTTGGGAGGGGAGGAGGGGTCACTGAGGGAGAGAGAGAAGAAAGCCCAGGACAGAACTTAGGATGGAGGGAGGAAGAGGAGCCAGGGAGAGAGCCTCGAGAGGAGTGGGCATGGCTGCAGCACTGCAGGCGGGCCAGGGAGGCCGAAGGGCGGGCACGGCATGGGCCTTTGGACTCGGTGCCCTTGGGAGGTCAGCTTTAAGAGAGGGCCGGGAGACAGGCACATCGCAAGAATCTGAGGAGTCAGGGAAGTGAGAAGCAGGTGGAGGCGAGCCTTGACATTTCTGGGAGTTTGCCAGTGAAGGGGAAGAACAGAGAAGAGAAGCTTAAGCTTTT